GGACCCACAGTGGGCAGTAGAAAGTTCTGTTCGGGGTAAAAACATATCATTAATAAAAACAACTCCAAAGTTATTGTTTCTATTTCCTGACATCAATTGTCTAGTCTACCAGAGGTTATACCAAATCATATCACAGGATCATTGTACTTTCGAAGACTGTGAACTTCAACTACTGGGTACACCCGCAAGAATTAAAAGTCAAAAGTGAAATCCCCTCTTCTCACCTGATACAAAGAAACTGAGGCCCAATACTTGTTGAGTCCAGTTTGCTGCGCAGTCAGAATCCTTTTCCCTGGAGGATGGCGGGTCTGGGCTGGAAGCGGCTGCATGGCCCAAGACTGCGGTGCCCCCGGGGTGGGAGGGGGGCTGCTGCCTGCTGTCTCCGCCCTCTCCTGGGAACCATGCTTCCTGAGTCCCCTTCCCGGTGCAGGTCCAGGGGCAAGTGTGCCAATGACAGACGCCCGTCTGAGACTTGAGGGCAGACGTGCAGGCGGAGTCGTCATGCTCAGGGGCCGGGTTCCTGAGACACACGGCTTCGCAGTCCTCCCCGGGAGCTCCCTCACTGCGGTGCCTCCTTGTAGGCAGTGGCCCCTTGGCCTGCCTTGCAAGCTCTGGTTTCCCCACCCGTCCCAGGCTCAGGCTGGCGTCCTTGGTAACCGTGATCCTCCACCTGACCCTTCCGGGCCTTTGCTCCAGCAGCTCTTCCTCAGTGTCGGCCCTAATTTCCAGATTCAATCCCTCGTTCCCATAATGCTTGTTGTGGCCCTGGCTGATCCCTGCTGACACGCTGTGCAAACACAGTTCTCACAAAAGAGCCACTTACTTGATTTGAGCCAAACCAGCAAGGAGGGTCAAGACACTCATATTCAATTATTTCCTGACTAGTGGTTCCAACCCGAGAGCTAAGCCATTTACTTGTTGTGCATGAGGAAGCCAACCCCTGCTTTTCTAGACTATCTCTGTCACTCTTACCTGTTGGAGCTAGTGTCAGTCCCCCATCTCCGAACTGGGGATGCCGCCATCTGCGTGCAGAGTTTGTGGTGCTGGGAGTTTCCATGCACGTGTGTGTGCCCTGCACCGACTCGCAGGCTGGCACACCAGGAACACACCCCAAGACGAAGTTCCTTTGCAAAAGGGTCAGACTTCACACGGAGTCACTGGAGGGACAAACTCCCTGACGGGCCCTGTTCTGCACATTCCAGCGTGTTACTTCCATTACCAAGGCACTTCTTAAGCTGACTCACTTCCTAACCCAAGAACATTGATCCAAATCAAACTAAACTAAATTTCCATGCCAGGCCCCAAACATATTCCCCGATGCTCCTTCCCAAGCCCCCGTGCCCTACTCTACTCTAGGGTAGCAGACCAAAACCCCTTGGGTGGTAGCTGGATGTTGGTTGAGAGCTCACTCTGGGACGCCTCTCCTGCAGGAGTCCCCATGTGGCCACTGCTGAGGTCCCCAAGATGGCGGTACCAAGACTCTATGTGGAGGTGGCCCCTGCTGATTCCCTAAGGAGGAAGTTCTGCAGGTATCTGCAGAGGGGTGCCCTGGGCCGAGGGAACACAGAGCCAGGGTGCTGTGCTGGGAGTGTGGCTGGTGAGTTCCAGAACCAGCCAGGTGGCGAAGGCGGCTGGAGCAGGTGGAGGAGGAGGCAGAAGATGAAGTGAGATAGGTCATTAGGGAGCTGATGGTATGAGGTCCAGGAGACCATGATTTTGACTTTTATCCTGATTGATTTTTAAATTATTCAAGCATTTTGAGAACAGGCCAAAGGGAGGCAATCCAGAAGAGAGAGGATGAGAGCCGCAGGGCTGGGAATCATCTTACTAGAGGGGCCGCATCTGGACCCGACGTATAGATTTTCACCAGTTCCTGGACTTGGAATCTGATTACATGGGATGGATGGGTTTCTTCTTTCGGGATTGAGGTGGGAGTGGGGGTGGAGGGTGAGTATATTCCACGTGTGAACAGGACACACAGGTATTTGGTGGCCAGCGTCTAGCCCGGCTCCCAGTTCTTCCAGACAGCCAATCTTCCTTCCTAGCCTCCCTTGCGGGTAGGTGTGGCTATAAAACTGACCAGATGACGGGCAATGGAATATGAATGGAGGCGATGGCTACCTCCAAGCCTGGCCCATAAATACCTCCCATGTGGGCTCCTTTGTATACCTTTTCCTTTGCTGGCTCCCTGGGATGGTTCACCAGGGTGAACTTGAGGGCCAAGTGAAGCCAAATACTGTCTAGCACTGAAACCTAGCGTGAATCAGCCTTGCTCAGACCGCAAACCCAAACGCAGCCCAATTGAAGCATCAGTCACATTAAAATAAAGAAGCCTCCCCAACACTGCATCCCCGACCCCATGGCCATGCCTTCAAGCCCTAAACATGATGGAAATTCAGTCCCTCAGCTCCTGTGGCACCAGCTGTCACAAAACTTCCAAAAGGTGGTTACCTAGGTACTGATGTACCTTAGATCTTAGGGAGTAAATAAAAGGGCTAATCATGGAAAATCTAGTTAACAACATGCATAATTGAGTCTGACTCTTTGGGTAACCTGACAAGGGCAATCAATGGGAATATGACTTTGATCCTTTCACCTAAAAATCTGGTGCAGGCTAGGTGTGTCCCTACGTGGGACAATGGCTCATTTCAGTACTTTCAGTGGTTTGGGAAGAGTTCTGGAGCCTACAAGGCGGTTCCAGGTTCTTCAGTGTAGGACTCCTCCTGCGTGGCTTCATCCGTGTTCTTGCGGCCTACCCCAGACGACCACCTCACAGAGGCACACCTAACCCAGGCCTCAAGTGCCTGCAGCATGACCTTGCCTCCTAGCTTTAGGGAAAGGCTGTTGAGTCTCCTGAAATTTTGCTGTCACTCTGCCCCTTTCAGACCTGGCTGTGTTACCTGAAGCTTCTCATTTGTATGCCTTTTTCTTATATGTACTAGAAATTGTGCCAGCCAGCTGTGGGTCCCTTTCCTTGGTGACGTTCTACAGTAGACGCATTGGTATTTTGCCTACTACCGGCCCCTTCCATTGGTTCCTTTCGGGCTCCACGTAACTCATGTGGGGCTGTCATCAAGAGATGGACTGTCACACACAGTAGCAGCCATATCACCAAGCAAGTCCATTCGAGGGAATTTCCATAGACTCTCGTGAAGATGGTGTCTCTTTTCCTGAGACAGTGAGCCTGGGCCCCTGGGGCCCTCTCTGTCACCTGATGGAAAGTCATCAAGCCATCGCTAAGCAAGGCCAGTGAGCAAGGCCAGCTGAGACCCTAGGGAAAGAGAGATTCCTGACAGTTGTTGAGCAACTGGATCCAGCCAGTCCTGTTCCATACCGACAGCCCCATACCCTGGGACTTGGATGCATTAGCCAACCTGTCTTCTAAAATTAAACACAATGAAGTTTTTATGAGTTGAATTTCTATCATTTACAACTGGAGGTTCTATGAACGTTCCCAAGAACTTGACTCACCATAAGATGTCAAGGGGCGATTTGCCCATTTTCCCGCCGACGTTTCTCCTGAGGCTCTTGCTGGAGCATTTGCTGTGCACAGTGCGGGCACGTGTGCTGCGGCCAACTGAAGGTCTTCCTTGTACAGTGCACCCTCTGGATCCACTGCCTTACCTGAGGGTGGCAAGCTAAACGGAGAACACAGACAATACCTTTCTGATCACTCATCCCTGTCCTTTTTCTAAAAGGCAAACTGTTGTGTCAATTCATCACCTTATAGAATCCCTAGTGAGAGGTTTGGGGGTCTTTTTTGACCAGGATCTCTGTATACAATCCAACTGTTGAGGATGTTATTGGGGAAAATCTCTATGCATCTTATGCCTTTGTTTCCTCATTCACTGCAAAACAGCTAATAGGGTCAATTAAAATGAATTTTATAGCTCCTTGAATTGCCTCCTTCCTAAGTGATTCTAGTTTTAATTTTGGGAAGGTTGGTGCCATTTCAAGGGTTCTAATCTTCCAGGCCATCGACCCACTTTTCTAAGACGCCCCAAGCTTTGGGCCCACGGATACAATGTGGGAATGCTCCTTCAGGTCAGGGGTTGGCAGGTAACAGCCCAGGAGACAAAAGCCAACCGGTCACCTATTTTTGTGCGTAGTTATTGGAACATGGCACACTCACTCGTGTATTACATGTTGACAGCTGTTTTTGTAGTTGCCACAGAGACCACTGGCCACAAAACCAAAAATAATTATTATCTGGCCCTTTACACAAAATGTTTACTGATCACCTGCTCCAGGTCAGCACTTCTAAATCATTTCTTCATTGTGACACCTATTAAAAAATGACACCCCGGGAGATGAAGACATCGGCAACTCGACAAACCTTTGAGGCACCCTGCCTGGGAGGGTCTACCCTAAGACCACGTGGGAGAGCACATGAGCTGGCCTACACTTGTGGATTTCACCTGTGGCCAAGACCAAGACCAAGGTCACTTGTCCTATTCGTGGGTGGTGGCAGTAGTGACCCCCCCGGGCGTCCTGATTCCCTGTGCAACTGCCCTTGTGGCATCGGTTGGGGCATGGTTCTAAAGTGAGACTTAAAAGAGCACAAAGTTGTTCTCATCACTGATGGGGCCAACTTGTACCACATGTGGCTCAACGCCAATTGTTGGCACCCCTGTGCTGGCACTGCTGTGCAGCCCCGAAGACACCATCACAGCCTGTCACAGTCATCACTGTTGCTTCCCTTCCCCTGCAGACAGCACCGGGGTGAACACAGCTGGTGCCCGTCTTCTGAGGGACCTCCTGATTTCACCTCTGGGTCCCCACTGCACCAGTGGCAGAATCCTTAAGTGCCCCTCACATTCTGGGGTCCCATCAGTGTCCTCTTCCTTTTTCTCCCTTTATGATGGTATAAATTCATTGCAGAAGCCGTAACAGGAGTGACTGTTCATTTTTTATGTCACCGTAGAGGAGAAAGGGGTGTTAAGAACCAGTCATACCAATAAAGAATGAAACTGCAAGTTTATTTGAAAGTATAAAATTAAAAAAAAAAAAAAACCTAACCAAAAAAAAAAAAAAAGCCTGCACACAATCTTTCCAGTTTAGATCAACTTTGAACATCACAGACCAGTAACCACTTAGTTGCATTTTTTTAGAAGTGTCAATGTCAAATTAGAGGGAGTTGAATCAGATGAGGAACTAGCTATCACAGTGGAAGTGTTTTAAGGCTAAAATGAGAAGGACTCATTGACCTCATTTGAGAAAAGAGAACAGAGATGGTTTTCCAGTTGGCATAGATTTAGGCAGCGTATAAAAAAATATCCTGACTGGAATGAGTTAAAAAATATCGCGGGCCACCTAATTTGCTATCTTGAGTAGAGGGCAAAAAAATCCCCAAACCCCCCACAGCTTTGGTGTCTTATTAACATATTTTAGAAACATTCATTAAAAAAGTCAAATCTGTAACAAAAGCATCCCTGTGTTTTAAAAAACATTAAACAGGCTCCTTTCACCTACTAACACCATTTGTTTTCCCAAAGGGCCTGGGAGCAGCAAATGTGCGAGAGCGGAATTCACTGCACTCCTATTAACATCAGAACGCTTTCCCCGGAACAACGTCCAGGGCACCAGACAGGAGGGCCCATCCCAGGCAGAAGTCAAACCATCCTGACTCACAGCAGGTGAGACGTTCAGCCCGAATGTCTAGTGTACTCTGGCTGCCACCAAAACTTCTTTCTTCGTTGGATTTCTCAGAAAACAACTAGAGTGTTATTTTAAAAATGAAGGATGCAAGCAACTAGGTTCCTTTCCTTAAAAAAGAAAGACATCACCAAGTGGTTAGCTTTCCTGGAACACCCTCTGGGTCTGGTTCGAAAAAAGGAGCCCGCAGAACAGGGTCACTGACACCACTTCATTCCCCTCTGCGGGGTCCACGGGGTCAGCATCACAGAAGCTACTGCGAGTTTGCTGGGCCGTGGGGAGAAGCCCCGAATGGGGAGCAGCTGCCCAGAGTGGCCCCCCAGTTCCAGTTTTGTCCCCTGTCTGTTTCTTGCCAAATAACACCTAGGTTTCTACCCAGCCTGTTCCCCAGGGGGTGGGCCCTGCGGCTGGCGGGGCAGAGAGAAGGAGGAAGCCAGCAGGGACGGAGACCAGGAACTAGATAAATAACAGCTCAAAGTGCAACAATGCACAAACACCTGGCATGTGGGTCGGTCTGTTGTGACCTGTTATCAGGGATCAACGGGACAAAGGTGTGACCTCCTTTAGCATCATTCTTTGGACCTCACTAGAGAAACAACGACAACGACAGCTGTCCTATACACATATAAATAGTCCCTTAACTGGAAGGGAAAAAACAAACACACCATTTCAAATGCATTTCTAAAAGATAAAAAAAAAAGTCCAAATGGCAAATCCTGACTCCAAATTGTCCATGTCCATGTCTCTCGGGGGAGAAACTACAGGGTGTTCGAAGAGGCCTAACCCACTCTAACCCTAACCCTACACTGAGGCTTTGCAGTGGGGAGTGTGTGCAGTGCAGGGAGCTGGCAGCTCTGGTGGGAGGTGCTGATACGGTTCTCATGTGTTAGCAACTGATGCCAAGTCCAAATACACATGTGAAACATCTTCTGAGTGTTAAGGGAACTTAGGAGGCTAGTGTTGAAACTGCATGAACAGGCCTGGCAGGCTGGGTGTGCTTTACAGGGACAGACGGCCAGATCGGACACTCGGCCAGCTTCAGCCGGATGTTCACCCCTTGGCTGCAATCAGGCCGCAGCTGGGAGGCTGACGATCCAGGAACCAGGAAGGGACTGTGGACAAAAGCTGGGCTCGGCCCCTGGCAGCCTGCACTTCAGGAGTCTCGAACTTGGACAGACCCCTGGTGGGGATGTCCTGCCTATTCGGGGATGAGGCTGGCAATATGTTGCCAGAGAAAGCTCTCAAAACAAGGATTCTCGGGCAAAACGTTACAGCCAGAATCTATCCAGAGTAGGCAGTTTCACGGTCATTCACAAGCCCAAAATTACATGGCTGATTACTGACGAGCTCAACTCATGTCAAAGGTTTTCTCTGGCTACTGCCTCCCCTGAACTGAGAGTTAAGCACAGGATAATGCAAGGTTTCCACGCTTGCCTGGTTTCGAGACCAAAACCCCAACACAGCTACCAGATGGCAGCCCACAGAGAATGTGGCCCAGTGTCCCCTGCCCTTTTGGAATGCCCAACACGGCACAGAAAGAATGCTTCTCGGGGCTACTCATACCCTGGTTCGTGGGGCTGCCTACTCGGCCAGATTACAATGGCAGCAGCAGAACAGTGGGAGGCGTGAAGCTGTGATCCCCGGCCCCAGCGGAGGGGTGACCTCCCAGAAAAGATGCACAGTATACATCATGTCAACTAGAGGCCAGGGGAATGCCAGGTCACCCTCCTGAGAACATCCTGAAATCTGAGGGAGGAAGGAACAGAGACAGCTGACACCCCTCATCACTCCTTGAGGCGCCTTGAAGAGCTTCCCACGAGTGCAGGTTGTTAGGATGGTAACAAGTCAGAGCAGATGAACCCACATGGACTTTGGAATAACCGGATTTTACACTTCTTCGGTGCCCTGGCTGGGCACGGAGTCCCTGGGCTCGGCAGCGCCCTCCTGAGGGCCAGGCTGCCCAGAGCTGTGGCCGGTGTCTTCCACGCTCAGGAGGCTGCTGGCGGCCTGGGAGCTGGTGCTGTCAGCGCTGCCGGAGCGGGAGCGGTAAGGGGGAAGATCGGCTTGGTTCAGGGACTCGGTGTCGGAAGAGTAGGGCGGCGGAGGAAGGTCGTACCATGCGGGTCTGCAGTGGAGAAGGCGGATGGGGAGGGAGAGAGGAAGGAGAATGCATTACGAGGAGCCAGGGCAAGGCGGGCAGTGCCAACTTCTGCCCGCTTCTGGGCAGCCGCCGACGCGAGGAAGATGTGCCCTCCAAGTACAAAGGCAGCTCGAGGTGGTGCGCGGCAAGGCGGGGCCGGGGCCGGGCACAGGTCGGTGCGCTCCGGCTGGCTTGTGCCCCAACCACATCCTCTGGCTGGAGCCGGAGTGAGGATGCCAAGTACACCCTTGGCTCGTGCTGGGTGGTCTGGCAGAGTGGCTTTGCTCCACCGGCTGGGGTCCCTGTGGCCAAGCCGCTGGCCTGGTGTTTGATGGAACCTCTGAACTTCTTACTGAGAGCCAACTCTACCTTCTGTGTGGACTTGGGTAACACCTTGGTCTCCTTGCCTGTAGAAGGCGATACTAGTGACGCTTTCCTTGCAAACAAGTGACAGCTCACTTTCTGGCCCTCACTCACTGAAAGCTCACTGAGTCGGGCCAGGCCATGTGCCTACATATCAGGATGACAAGAGCGAAGAGGCAGGTGTTACTTTGTGCTCTTGCACTGACTGGGGAGGAAACTGAGGCAGGGGCACAGGACCACCAGTAACGTGGAAGCAGCGGGGTGGGATATGCACCCAGGCGTCATCTTGGTTTCGGTGATTTTAACCTTACTGTGCAGTGAAATAAGAGACTGTGAGTGGGGAGTGAGGTCCTGTACATTTATGCTAATTTGCGAAGAGATCCTTAAGCACCACTCCCTGAAGTTACCTTTTATGAGGGGGGAAAGCAAAGATTAAACAATACAAGAGCTGCCAGTGAAGAGGGTCCAAGAGGAACCCAGTCACCCCAGAAACATGGGCTCACACACAGTGAGTCCGAACCTCAGGGGACTCAGCTCTGGTCCCAGGCCGCCAGGATACCCCGGAGGTCAGCAAAGGAGAGAGGGAGGCGGAGCAGGCAGGATTCAGGTCCACTACCCACTTCGACTACAGAACTCTGGGTTCTGACTTCATTTGTAGGGAGGGCTCTACTGTTTAACAAAGCTTGAGAGTGCTCTGCTCCGCCCCCTTATTTTACAGGTGAAGCCAAGAAAAGGTAAGAAACTAATTAATTGGCTCACTCATTCATTCATTCATTCCGCAAATACTAATCAAACCTCTAATATGTAGGGGGCACTCTTCTGCGGTAGCAGGCGAGGCTTCCGAGTGTGAAAGCCAGTGGCCTGAACATGTGCCGGTGTGGCAATAACAGGGAGAGGCAGGGCTCTCAGTTGGCCAGGATCCTAACTGTATGTCCTTAACAAGGAACTAAACTCCAGTGCCCTCAGTTTCCTCATTTGTAACTTGAGGCAGAAGCAGAGCCATCTTCAGCGAGTCAATGGGAGGATGCATGTGAATGGTTTTGCAAGGACTCAGAGAATGCCAGACGCTGCTGTGCCTACGGCACCTGAACGCAGACTCTTGGCAAGGCCCAGGAATCCAGGTGTGCGCACGTTCTGCTCCCCCCACTGGATGAGCTCCCTCCCTCCATCTCTTCCACCCAGCACGCACCTTTGGTCCAGCAAGGCCTCTGAGTAGGAGGGCGGGGAGCCCACTTCTGATGCGTTCTGCTCGGCCTGGCTGGCCACGTACTGGATGCCATTGTTGACGTTGTAGGTGACATTGCAGTGGTGGGGGTGGTCCAGGACCACCAGGCGCGAGAGCAGCACAGGGTGCTGCAGCCGGTGCACCGGCAAGGTCATGAGGTTGTTCCGCTTCCGCTGGTGGTGCAGGACCAGCGCCAACAGGGCCACCACCAGCACGAAGATGACGGAGCTGCCGATGATGGCGTAGGTGATGCTGGGGTAGTACACGAGCTGGTTCTCCGAAGTCACAAACACCTGCCCGCTGCCAGGTTCTGAGAAACCCCCGAGGGGAAAGAAAAGGAGGAGGTGATCATTTAACTCACCCCAGGGCACGCACGCAAATGTTTGTAGCAGCTCGCTTCACGCTTCACGACGGCTGAAACGGAGAAACCACCCAAATGTCTACTGACTGGTGAATGGATAAACAGAATGTGGTGTCTATACAGTGGAGTGTTTCTGAGCCATTAAAAGGAACAAAATACTGATACATGCCACAACACAGATGAACCTCAAAAACATTACACTAAGCAAAATAAGTCAGACACGAGACCATACTGTATAATTCTGTGTATGTGAAATGGCCAGAAAAGGCTAATTTATAGACAGAAAGTAAATTAACGGTGGTCTGGGGAAGTGGGGTGGAAATGGGGATTAAATGGGGATCACCCCCGGGACCTTGTTGGGGTGAGGGAAATGTCGGGTGTGGTGATGACTACACAAGTCGGTAAACTAACGACAACACACCGAATGACACTTAAAATGGGGAAATTTTATGTTACGTAAATTATACCTCGATCGAGTTGTTTCAAGGTATTGGCCCCGGGAACTATAGTATCCAGGAGGGGCAGCTCCTGTGGCGGAAGTCGGTTTCCCCCGAAGCTTTAATGTAACACACACGAGGGACACTGGTCTGTGGGTCTGAGTGCTTATGTGTGCAGAGCACTTATTTTATGCCAGGCCCATGTCAAGCTTTCAATAGAGAGCCAGCACAGCACGGGCTAAAATTGTGCACTCGGGAGCCAGACTAGGTTCAAATACCAGCCGCTCAGTTTACTGGCTGTGTGCCCTTTGGACAGTAGTCCACCCCTCTGTGTAGCACTGTCCCAACTGCACAATGGGGATAGTAACAGTCCCTGCCTCACTGGGCTGCCAGGAGCATGAAATAAGTGAAGAACCACCAAAAGGCCCCCCCCCACAGCAACAGCAATCCTGAGAAAGAAAAACAAAGCTGGAGGAATCGTGCTACCTAACATCAAACTATACTATAAGGCCCCAGTAATCAAAACAGCCTGGTACTGGCATAAAAACAGACACACAGATCAATGGAACAGAATAGAGAGCCCGGAAATAAACCCACCCCTTTACAGTCAATTAATATTTGGCAGAGAAATTCAATGGAAAAAAAGCCTGTATTCACATACCTGGTAAGGTAGGTGCTTTTATTGTTTTATTATTCTTAGTTTTCAGATGAGCAAACTGACTCAGAGAGGTGAATTAACTTGTCTAACGTCACGTAAGTAGAGGAGCCAGTATCAGAACCCAGATAGTTCTTCAAAAAAAAACACCACACGTGCTGAAACATCCCATCTTCCTTCCTCATATCAATCTTTCTCGATTCTTCCAAACAGTCCTCATCTGAGACAGATTTTCCCCCTTAAGCTCCAGGCTTTGTGCTAATTTTCTCCCTAGCTACGCTCAAACACGCATGAAAGCTACAACATTCCTGTGGGTCAATGATTAACTGTACAGAAAGAAGCAAAGAAAACCCCAGACAAAAGGTGGATGCACGCTCGAGTTAGGGCAGGGAGACAGTGCTGAAATTTTCCCGAGACAATTAGCTGTCATTCAGGGGTTCTGCTGGAGTTCTGTCTGTTCCCAGTTCAGATAATTAAAAACCGGGTGGGGGCTTGTATTTCAGAATCCAGACTTAAAACACCCTCTTTGTTTTGTTGTCTGCAGCATAGAGCGAACGGGTTGAATCCTGGGACCATCACTCAAGGAAGTTACTGAACTTTTATGAGCCTCTGATGCCTCATCTTTAAAACGGTGGCGGTTCTGTGTAAATAACAGCGGCCATCTCCTTGGTTACCGAGAGGGTAAAATACAATATTCCCAGAGTTCTGAGCCAAGAACCTGGCAAAGTCCTGTGTGCATGTGTCTGACATGAAATTGGTCAGTTTAACCATGTTTAGGTGTGCAGTTCGGTGGCATTGAGTACATTCGCACTACAGCGTAAATCGCCACCATCTGCCTAGAGAACTTCTCATCACCCTGAACCAGTTAATGCTAATTCTTGGTGTCCACAGTCTTTCCACTGTCCTCATCAACCTCTCTGTACGGGGTGGTGAGGCTGGAAGAGACAGAGACAGGCTGGAAGATCTGCTTTTGAGGGGTAAGGTGGGGGACAGGATAAGGATCGAGGAATTTCCTTTCCAGTGAGAGATGCTTCTTTTCTTTTTTTCTTTTAAAGAAGAGTTTTGCTGCTTTGGGGAGTCTTTAAAGATTTTATTTATTTACTTTTAGAGAGAAGGGGAATGAGTGAGAAAGAGAGGGAGAGAAACATGTGAGAGATACATGGATAGGTTGCCTCTTACATGCCCCCAGTCAGGGGCCTGGCCCACAACCCAGACATATGCCCTGAGTGGGCACAGAACCAGCAACCTTTTGATTCACAGGCTGGTGCGCAATCCACTGAGCCACATCAGCCAGGGCAAGATATGTTTCCTAAAAGAGAAAGGTGGCTGGGTTTTCACAAGGAAAACCAGTGGGTCCAGTTTCAGGACCCCGACTTCTGTGTAACTTGCGGTTTTAAGAACACGAGAGAGAGCTCCTTCAATGAATGGAATGTCGGATGCTCATGGGTCTCAGCAGCCTCAGTAACGTCTCCAAGGGCAGGCCGTCTGCAGATCGGCCCACGTTGGCAGGCGAGAAGCGGCAATCACATTCGCTTGAGAAATTATGTCACGTAAGTCAGTGGTGCCTGGTCTCCTTTTTGCTCTGTGTGTAAAATGTCATCTTGTATTAATTCATTAACTAGACTTACTTTTCTTAAGAGCTTAATGAGCTCGCTGGCCAAATCACTAATATCAGAGCTGCCTGGGATCCAGGCTCCAAGTGCATAACCACGGGTAATGAAGTCCCTCAAGCTGATGCCTTCCTGCTCCACTGCCCACCGGTGTGGACTCCTTCCCGTCCTGTGCCTGCCCCTCCCACCACAGGAACGCCAGGCAATCTGGTTACTACCCAGAGACCATCGTGCTGGCTCCCTTGGATGGGCCGTGTACCACTCCGGGGGCGCTCTGCCCCTCCAAGCCCCTCCAAGTCCCCTGGGGTTTGTGTAGGTATCACAGCAGTTTTCGAGGGTCTCAAAGCAGAGTGCCTTTTTCTCATTCCCATGGTGGCACTGTCTGGACCGACAGAGGGACAAAAGCAGCTGACACGTGTGACTTGGGTGTTCCTCTGCTTCTCAACAATTCCCTCTTGCGGGTACAAAAGGATTTTTCTACAAGAGATCTTCTTTTTTTCCCTTATAAGATTGGCAAAGGCAAAGATGCACTTTGCAGTTGGCTGGCCAGGACTCGAGAAAACAAGCGTGATCATGAATGCATGGTCAGTTCGGGTGGGAAACTGGTGTGAGTCAGCGTGGTGACAGGGTTCAAGTACATGTAAAAAAAAGGACATTTCCTCTGACCTAGCCATTCCACTCTGAGAAACCTGTCTGTGTGTGTGTGTGTGTGTGTGTGTGTGTGAGAGAGAGAGAGAGAGAGAGAGAGAGAGAGGAACTTGTTGTTCCACCCGTCCCTGCACTCGTTGGTTCTCTGGTATGTGCCCTGGCTGGGGGATCAAAGCCACAATCCTCGTGCACGAGGATGATGACACACTAAACACCTGAACTACCTGGCGGGGGTAAGAAATAACTTCTTAATTTAAGTATTTGCTGAAGCATTTTTCATAATAGCATATATATCCAAACAGTTCTAAAAGCATCTATCAATTGCAGCATGGCTAAATTATGGTGTATTCAGGCATCTTTAAAAAATCAGGGCAGCTCTGCATATGTGGACGGAACAACCTGAAAGATGCCGTATAAATGGGGAAAAAGGCCAAGTTCAGTGGAGAATGCACAGGATGGCTCTACGGGGACACACAGAACTGGCATCACCGGCAGCGTCTAGGGAGAGAAACAGCAAGAGAGGGGCTCGGGCTTCCTCTCCTACTCTGTGCGGCTTCTGGTCCTGTACCATCCACTGGAAATGGGAGCCTTGCTTCCCTCTTTCCGTGTGCTGTGAGGGCTCCCCGGGGGCCCTGTCTCCCTGTCACTCCCCGAGACCCCGTGCTGACGCTCCACTCCCTGAGAATGCTCCGAGGCCTCCAGCCTGACCTTGGGAATCCCAAAAACATGTTCTGGAAAGTTCACCGTCCTGGTCACATGGACTGTTCACCCTTCCTCTGAAGTAGTGACTCCTGTGTGCTTTTTTAAAAACATTCTTTTTTAAGTTTATTTTTCTCCAGATGAGGTATTTTAAAAAGTGAGGTTTCTTGAGATATAATCTGCACACAATAAAACTGCAAAGCTGTAGATGCCCTTTAAAAATGTAGAGTTAGGTGAATTTTAACAAAATAAAACAGTTGCGTAACCTTCACCTCCCACACCCTGCTATAATTTGTTCCTGGGCTCCCTGGCAGTCACCGGAGACCACTGAGTCACGTACGTGAAATCATACCATGTGTAGCCAATTGCGTCTGGCTTCTTCCACTTGGCAAAATGCCGCTGACATTCATCCATGTTTCTGTGAGCACCCCCATTTCATTCCTTTACATTGCTGAGCAGTCTTCTACTGAGTGGATGGGCGTGCCAGAATTTGTTTATCCATTCACCAGTTAAGGGGGCAAATAGGGTTGCTGTCAGTTTCTGGAAAGCAGGTCTTTATCCTGACATATTTTTCATGCTTACTGATATATATTTAGGGGTAAGGTTGCTGAGCCACATTGAAAGTATTATGTTTAAATTGGTAAGAAACTGTAATACTGTTCCCCAAAGTGATTACAGCATTTGTCTTCCCCTGCCCTGCCAGTTGCGCTGCAGCCTCATCTGCACTTAATATGCTCAGTCTCGTACATTTTGGCCATTGTGCTAGGTGTACAGCGGTATCACTGAGGCTTTCTTTAACTTGCATGACCGATGATGTTGAGTATCTGTCCTGTGCTGATCTGCCACCCCCAGCTCTCTGGTGAAGTGTCTATTTAAATCTCTTGCCCATTTTTAAATGGG